CCGACCCCATGTGGGAAGCCTGGACTAGTTCCCACCCCCTTCTTCGGACAAAAAAACACTGTCTGTGGAGGAAGCACACAACAAAAACAGTGGAAACAACACACAGAGTCTGTGGAAAAAGTACACACCGACTTTTCCACTCTGTGTGTTTTTGTTTGTTTGTCACCGACCTTCGCGCATCGCGCCCCCCGAAACCGCGACGCGCGGTTACCTTCGCGCCCTCGCGCCGCCCCCACGGAAAGGGGCACACATAGTACGGATGCAAAGTAAGGATGCAAGACACTTAAAGTTTCACTTGCCGTGTAGAGTTCCTTGGACGTCAACATTGGCTCAGGATGGGCCGCAGAAGCAGGGATGCCCTACTATGGATTTCAACTGCAGTCCTCGCCCCCCCTTTGGATGCCCCTGCAGAATACACTGACTCGGGTCACTGCGAAACCGGGTCTGTCAGGCTCTGCAAGCTCCTGCAAGCTCCTGAAGGATCCTGCGCGTTGCACCGGGGCAGTGCACCCTTGGCTCTGCAGGATCCTGCCAGATCCGGCGCTCTGGCTGACCCTCAGTTTGCACTGACCCTGGGGGGCCACATGCGAACCCTACCCCTGCACCCCACGATTTCTGAGGGGGAGGGTGGGGTTCACTTCGTTCGGGAGCTCTCGAGCGAAGTGAACCCCACCCTCCCCCTCAGAAATCGAGGGGGGTAGGGGTAGGGTTCGCATGTGGCCCCCTATGACCCCCGCCTCGAGGCCCCCCACTCTGGATGCCCCCAGCGAGGGGCCCTGCCCGGCCCGAGCGCGCCAGGCCAGGGCCGTCTCCAGCTCCGCGCCCTCGCCGCGGAGGCGTCGGGGCCGCGCCCCGACGCTCGCGGCGCGAAGGTGGCACAGGTCGTGGTGCGGTAGGCTCGGAGTGCTTCGACCCCCTCTGGGAGGCCTGGTCAGCTCTTCCGATGTTCCCTGCGCCCTGGCGCGGGCTCCCTCGGGAGGGTAGGAGGAGGAGGAGGAGGAGGAGGAGGCGGCGGCGGAGGCGATGGCGGAGGCGGAGGCGGAGGAGGAGGAGGAGGAGGAGGGGGGAGAAGGGGGGACGACGACGACGACGACGACGACGACGACGACGACGACGACGACGACGACGACGACGACGATAATGACGATGATGATGATGATGATGATGATGATGATGATGATGATGATGATGATGATGATGATGATGGTGATGATGGTGACGACGACGATGACGACGACGACGACCACGATGATGATGATGATGCTGGTGGTGGTGGTGATGATGATACTGATGATGATGATGATGATGAGGAGGAGGAGGAGGAGGAGGAGGAGGAGGGGTGGAAGAGGAGAACCTTCGGGGCCGCGCGCCTGCGAGGGCGATACGATGCGACCACCGTTGCGGACAGTGTCTGGGTCTAGCTCAGACCAGGTGGGTGAGGCCGAGGACTCGAGAGTCTGGAGAGGGAGAAGAGGAGAAGGAAAGAGAGGGAGGGAGCAGGGCTTGACCTAAGCAGTGTCTTTCGTGTTTTGTGTTGTCTCTCGTGCCCCCCCCCCCGGCCAGCTGCTCATCGTCGAACTCTTCGACGTCTGAGCGTCCCTTCTTCCTCTCGGCCGTCCCCCCCCTCTTTGCCCGCCGCCGGCCAATTCGTTAGTTTGTGCCCCTTTCTAGCCTCTCGCTGGAGCGGAGTTCGCAGCCTCGCCGCTGACGAAAAAAGTGTGTGCGTTGTCTTTGTTTTTCCTCGCTTCGTCTTCGTTCCGCCTTTGCTGCGGAAGTGCCCAGACACCGTTCAGGACGAGCCCTGAGAGGGAGAAGGATAGAGAGAGAGAGAGAAGTCCCTGGCCCGAGATCCCTGGCAACACGGCAGACCGCGAGCTTGCCGGGCCCTTAAGCTGTTCAGAGCGACAGCGATTCGCCCGTCCAGACGTGTCGCCGCGAGCGCGAGGGATAGTTCTTCCAATAACTCCTGATGGTCTTCTGCCCACCCACGTCCCAAACGTTGAGCTTGTAGCCCTCGCAGAAAGCCGGGGGCGGCCAAGAGGTGGGCGTCCCAGAGGGGGGCGGGGGGGGGGGGGGATCATGGCCGGCGGCATGTGCGCGGCTCAGAGGGGTGGTGGTGGTGGGGACGCATTGAAATAAGAAGAGAGGGGAAATATCGTGGCCCCCGCCATGATATCCCCTCCCCCCCTGGTCATCACACCCCTCTTGGCCGCCCCCGAGAAAAGCGCCGACTGTGCACCTGCACCGGTCCTGGCCCGGCTCAGGGCCCACGGCCAGCACGGCCAGGACCGAGGCGCGGGTGCACCGTCGCCGCCCCCGCCCCGACCTCGTACTCGAGCGTCTTGATGTTGAAGCCCAGGGTGGGAGAGACGGTGTCGACGGGCTCCCCGTTGAACTTCTTGAGGATGGTGGTCTTGCCGGCGTTATCCAGGCCGAGCATCAGGAGCCGCATCTCCTTCTCCTCCTGCTTCATCTTCCGCAATATCTTCATCAGGCCCATGACAGCCACCCACCCGCTGCAATCGCAGCTCGGCAAAAGACGGAGGAGGAGACGGAGGAGGAGGAGGCGGAGGAGGAGGAGGAAGGCCAAAGCGAGCCCAATGAGGTGCATCGAAGGAGGAAAGGAGGATGAGGAGGAGTATCGAAGATAATATAAGAGAATGAGGATCGAGGAGGCGGATGATGATGATGATGATGAGGAGAAGGAGCAGGATGAAAGCGGATCGAGAAGGAGGAGGAGGACGAGGAGGAGCAGGATGACCAGAGTAAGCCCAGGATGCATCGCTGATGCTGCCAGCACACCCTCTCGTCCAAAGTCTCCTCCTCGCAGGCCTCCGGAAATGCTCTCCAGCCCTGGGGGCCCGCCCTTCGGGCGGCAGTCCCGTGCTGAACATGAAGAAACGCCCTCCATCCTTAGAAGTCTTCAAAAGGTTCAAAGTGTGTAGGAATGTTGACTTCAAAGTACGAGCCAGCGTCGACTCCAAATTGGATCGGAAGACTGAACGGAAGTGGGCTGGAGAGGACTGGAAGTAGACTGGACTGTACGGGGGTCGTCTCTACTCCACTCTGCTCTAGCCTGCTCTACCCTACCAGACTCTACTCTGCCATCTACCCTACTCTACTCTGGTCTACTCCAAGGTACTCTACTCTCGCCTACCATACCCTACCCAAACATGCTCGATTCTACTCTACCTAACTCTACTCTACTCTGACCTTCTCTAGTCTACCCTACTCCTACTCTACTCTTCTGTACTCTCCTCTCCTCTCCACTAATCTACTCTACTCTGCCCTACACTATTTACGTTCTACTCTGCGACGCTCTACTCCATTATAGCTGACTCTACTCTACATCTACTCGATTATACTCTGCTCTTATCTGCCCTACTCTACCATTTCTGTAAGCTACCCTACTCTACCCATACCATACCCAACCCAACCTTAACCTACTCTACTCCATGTTGCTCTGATCTGCTCTACCCTACAAACACAACTACTCTACTCCTGCTCTATCCTGCTCCCCTCTACTCTACCCTACTATACTCTAGCTGACGCTACTCTACAATATACCCGACTCTAGTTTAATATGTTCTACTCTATTCTACCCTACCCTACGCTACTTCTACTCTACTCTATCATACTCGCTACTCTAGTGTACCAGACTCTACTCTACTCTACCCTACTCTGATCTACTCTCTTCTACCCTGCTCTACTCGACTCTACACTTATCTACTCTACTCTAACCCCCCGCCCCGGATAATCAAGACTTCCCCCCCTCCCAGCATCCTGATGACTGTCTCTGGCCAAGACAAATTTGGTTGACGATTGGGGGCGGCAAGGCCGAACTACAATATCGCAGGGGCAAGCATGAATCGTGGATCGAATCTAATTATCATGAGCCTGATCATCATCATCAGCAGCAGCATCATCATCAACAACAGCATGATCGTCATCATCATCATCATCGTCGTCGTCGTCGTCGTCGTCATCATTATCACCATCGCCAGCACCATAACAAGCACCAGCAACAACCCCAGCCACAGCATCATCAGCATCGTCATCATCCTCCCCATCATCATTACCATCATCATTATCATCATCGGTATCATCGTCATCATCGTAATCAACATCATCATCATCAACAACATCAGCATCAACATCAGAAACACCAACATCATCTTTATTATCAGCATAATCCGCATTATCAGCATTGCCCTCGTCGTCATCGTCATCGTCATCGTCATCGTCATCATCAGCAGCAGCATCAACATTAGCATCACTATCATCATCATCATCAGCAGCATCAACATCAGCAACAGTATCATCACCATCATCATCATCATCGCCGTCATTACCAGCAGCAGCATACAATTATCACCAGTATGAGCAGCAGCACCATCATCATCATCAACAACATCGTCGTCGTTATCATCAGCATCGTCAACATCAGCATCAGCATAAGCATCAGCAGCACCAGCATCAGTAGCATCAGCATCAGCATCATCATCATCAGAAGTATCATCATCGCCGTCGTCATCGTCATCATCATCAGTAGCAGCAGCATCAACATCAGCATCATTATCGTCATCAGCATCATCATCAGCAACAGCATCAACATCAGCAGCATGATCATCACCAACAGCATCATCAGCAGCAGCATAATCATCACCATCATCGGCATCATCATCATCATCATCATCATCATCATCATCACCAACAGCATCGTCGTCATCATCAGCAGCAGCATCAGCATCAGCATCATCATCAACAACAGCATCAGCATCAGCATCATCAGTGTCACCATCATCATACTCATCATCACCACCATCATCATCAGCACCATCACCATCACCATCACCATCACCATTATCATCATCATCATCACCATCATCACCATCATCACCATCATCATCATCATCATCATCATCATCATCATCATCATCATCATCACCATCAGTCTCATCATCACACGGTTCGTGGCCCCGTAGGGAGCTCAGGCCCTTGCTCCTTCTTCCTCCTGCTCCGGCTCCTGCTGCTGGCCCTCCTCCTCCTCCTCCTCCTCCTCCACCTCCTCCTTCCCCCTCCCCCTCCGCAACCGATTTGGCTCCATCCCTTCCCCTCCTCCCCCTCCTCCCCGCAGCTGTCCCGAGAGCTAGGATCCACAATATTTCTCAGGATTCCTACTCCTCCCACCCCTCCAGGGAGGCCCCGCAAGAGCGAGCACGATTTCGTTATACCATGAGACACTCCGTGCACCCGTACACTCCGAAAGACTCCGTTGACTCCTCCTCCTCCTCCTCCTCTTCCTCCTCCTCTTCCTTTCTGTTGCGACCTGGCGGAATATATATATATATATATATATATATATACACCTCCAGAGGCCCGAACGTTCTTATCGCCACCCTGTGATTATCGGGGTGACAGGGTTACTCTGATCTCTACTCTCCTCTCCTTTACTCTACGCTACTCTAAGCTGGTCTACTCTACTGTACTCTACTCTATTCTACGCCTGCCCTGCTCTACTCCTACTACACTATGATATCCGCCACCGTGCGATCGGCATGACATGGAGTGCCCCCAAGGCTCACAGCTGTGCTGCTGCGGCAGCCAAAACTCTAAATTCTTCGGAGCCAGGACCACTGGTTTCTCGGGCGTTCCTGGGCGCTCCCGGGACTCTCCCGGATCCTGGGGCGGCGCGCGTGCCTTCTGGAAACCAGGAGGGCCCCAACACGCGCCCAGGAAGCCCCGGCAGCCCGACCAGGTCGCCCGAGAAGGGCCCCGAGTCTTTCCATCATCGCTCCCAGACGCCCAAGAGGGCCTCGAGATCAAGAGGCCCCCAAGAAGCTCCAAGGGGGGGGGGGGTCCCAAGAGCACCTCCAAGAGGACCCGCAGAATCGCAGAGGCCAAAAACTGATTTCCCTAAGGTTGTTGAAAGATTTGATCATCCTCGCATTTCTCAGCTTCCAGAGCCCCACGACGGCCCAAGAAACTCCCACTGGCGCCCCAGGACTGCCCGGGAGGGCCCGAAGAAGGCCCCAGGACGGCCCAAGAGGCCCCCAAGACGGCCCAAGAGGGGTACACGAACGACTATTTCGAGCCGTGCGCCCCAAGATGGCCCCAAGAGCCCCCCAAGAGGCTCCGGAAGCCCCCCGAGACGCCCCAAGAAGCCCTCAAGAGGCCCCCCAGAAGCCCCCAAGGCCCTTGCAAGAGTCCCCTGAGAGGCTTACCAAGAGGCCCTCATATGTATGCATCCAAGGGGCCTTTGAGCCACAGCCCAGACATGGTGGTGGGATGAACCGAAAGCTATTAGATACTCTCGCCTACTCTACTCTACTCTACTCTACTCTATGCACTCTATACTCTGCTCTACTATACTCATTTACCCACTTCTACTCTACTCAACTGTGCTCTACTCTATTATGCTCTCTTCTACCTGTGAAATTGACGATTGCTGGGCGATTGTTGGGACGCCATTGGAATAACTACAGGAAACCATTGCAAGAGTAGAGAAAGCCATTGCAATATCAGAGGAGGCCATTGCCATAGTTTGACGCAATAGAAAGGAGGACAAGTGGACCAGTTCTCTACTCCATGGATCCAGGATTCCGATATGCGATGCACACCTATTTGGAGAACATGTCAAAAACGTCAATCCCATTTTCACAAGAATCCACACTCCAGCCGAACGTGCGCGGCCCTGATACGATAGACACAGTTCGAGAACAGTATTATCTCCACCCGTATGAGATATGATCAAATCACCTGCGGCCAGCTTTGAACAACGAATGCGCGCCGTGCAACGGTGAGAGTCGCAAGTTGACCACGGACCACAATTTGTCCGCGTCCTTAATTCTTTGCGTCGACAAACTGGACCCCATCTGTCTAGCAGATGGAAAAGCACAACGTCGATACCAAAAACCAGGAATCTGTCTCAGGCAAAACGCCCTACCAGCCCTGCCGGCACGCCCTGCGGTGCAGAGGGAGAGAGCTGATTGCAAGGAAGAGGAACGGAAAGACGTGGGAGAGCAGGAGGATGGAGCCCAGGGGAGGACGCCGAAGATGGAAGAAGGGGAAGAGGGGAAACGGGGAGGAGGGATAGGATCTGTTCGTCCCCAGCGCCAACAACCAATGACGCACCGATGAGGAGGGATAGGAGGAGCAGGAGAAGAGGGAAGAAGAGAGTAGACGGAGGAGCAGGAGGAGGGGGAGAAGGAAGGAGGGGGAAGGAGTAGGAGAGGGGAGGAACAGGAGAGGGGAAGAGCAGGAGAGGGGAGGAGGGAAGAAGAGGAGGAGCAGCAAGAGCAGGAGGAGAGAGGAGGAGGAGCAGGAGGAGGGGAGAGCTGGAGAAATGGGGACGAGGAGAGATGATGATGATGATGATGATGATGATGATGATGATGATGAGGAGGAGGAGGAGGAGGAGGAGAAGAAGGAGGAGCAGCAGCAGCAGCAGGAGAGAGTAGGAGCAGGAGGAAGGGCGAGGTGGAGAACTGCAGAGGAGAT